CGCTACTCGATGACTATTACTAATAGTCCCCTAGTAGCGTAGCCAATCAAAATGCAGGATTTGCATTAGTCCACTAGTTGGGTGATACTAATTATAGTTACTATATGGCTTGTGTTTGTAGCCGTTATAACGCGCGCTCTGATTGGCCAATTGTGGGGCATTATTCTCCCATAATGCCCAAGGGCCGATTACGAGCCTGCAAAAGCAAAGCAAAAAGCCATATAATAAACAACTTATTAACCGCGAACGGTCGGTCTTTACCGGAAAATCTTAAACCTAGGCCTCAATATGGCAAGGTCTCGGTTTGAGATTTTCCCGTACAGACCTCACTCTCGGTTAATAATTAGTTAGTACTCAATATCAAGACTAGGGAATGGACGTCAACATAATCATCCTCAATTCCAAGCACTGTGAGCAGCAATTTATGAATTTGTCTTTTAATTGAACAGGCTTTTCGTAAGTGTACGCCAATCAGAATGTAAACAATTCCATAATCTTATGCCAAAACTAGAATAAGACTTTGAATTAACGTTCAATCTCGCTGTGGTAACATAGAACTGCAGCAGAGAACCGGTTAATTATATAGATGAACGTTAGATAAGCGAGTAAAGAGAGTGATGGCGCGACGCTCGTAAGTGAATTCGTGTTTGAAAAAGCGAGGAAAGGTTCGAAGGGAAATCTGCAATAGATCTTACTTATACACTGCATTCAACACCTTAAAAATATTCTTCTCCCAGTATGACCTACCCAGCGTTCAAAATTATTGTGAAATTTCAGCTTCTTAGAGGGTGCGGGCACATAATTATTCAGTCTCTCACCTTTCCTAATTTCCTGTTCAGTTTGGCTAACAGCAGCCTCTCTCGAGCATTGTGCAGACATTTGGCCCCTTCATCCAACATGGCGCACTGCAGGAACTGATCGGCAGCTCTCAGGAACTGCGATCTCATCACTTTTGGGTTTCCTTTCAGCTTACTGGCCTCAGCAGCTTGCAACTGGGCTTGACACTTTTTCACCATCAGATTATCACCAGCCATAGTGAAGCATTTCACTGCCACCTCCCACAGCTCTTTGTTGTAAAAATAATGCCCCTGCTGACCCCATTCTGCTTCTGTCGACTTCTCCACGAACATACTGGTCAGCTGATCCGTCTCACTGGCTTCCCCTGACATGCGTAACACGCGGACGAGGTTGAGTCTTTGGAAGTACTCAAACACTGGTGCCCGTGCCTGCTCGTCTTCATCAAAGAACCACACGTTGACCCTGGCACGAGTAATGGCCGTGTACAGGAACTTGAACTCGGAGTTGAGTACCTTGTGTTTGTCGGAGTCGAATTCAAGGGGGCGCGATGTTGTTTCCAGGTCCTCCTCAGCGAGCTCTACGAGCCCTGATGTGCTGGGGACCTTTCCGTCTGACACCTCCTTCATGTACGTGGTCACAACTCGCCACTCTTTCTTAGCCTGCATAGTGAGAGAAATCCAACACTTAGAATCTAATGCAAGTCTACACTAATTCTGCAGGAGTTTTAATCAGAAAATGAACTTTACTTGGGAAGGATTTTCTTTTCATACGATTTGTTGCTGTCTAATCGATTATTCAACAAAAGAACCTAACTTAACTAAGTTAGCGCGTCGTTCATTCAAAATACGATTAAAAAGTGCACACAATGGCAGCCCGAATGTAAATTTTTACTCACTAGGGAACTCACACAGGAGGACACCCAAGACAAGATGAGTGAATGTTTCTTGTGTCAAAAGCAGCAAACATTCATCTAGGCTTCAATTGTTACTAATCAAAATGTTTTTTCCCAGCCTAGAAGAAATTCATTTTCGTGGCTTCCTAGATGAATGGCCAGGATGCCACCAAGTACCCTAAACCAACTGACCAGCTTTACTACAGCAGTTACAGCGTAGAAGGCGGCAGTGAATCTACTAAACTGGGTAAAACGAAAATTGCCAAGAGCTTTCACACATACAACGATTGAGAACTAAAGGCATTTCCTTTTGCCGTACCCAACGCTACACTAGGGACTTTAAAATATTGTACAGCTAGCCAAATTGTGAAGATCACTTCCGGTGACGTCATGACGCGCGTTCCAGTACGGCTTTCCCGCCATAGCCTTGCGTTATACTACGGGAAAGTGCCTGGTTTCACGTATTCTTCACTACGTGAGTATAAACCTGCTGTTTAATTCTCATTTGAACGCTTTTTCACTGTTTGAACAGCCTAGTTCGAAGATAAAGTACTCAATCATAAAAATTCATTCGAAGATAACCGTTTCTTTGTCATTTGTGAAGAAAATTTGAACGATTTAAACATCTACCGTGAGCGATAGTCATATTTCTACCGGGCCGAACAGCCGCAGATAAGAAAGCTTCGTATATGTACTAAGCTGAGCTATAATTGTTTACTGCTGTTCAAAATGTATTTTATTCGAATCAAAAGTTTTGTATTTACGGGCTTATCACGTACGAACACCCTGCCCGTGCTGAAATCGAGCTTTCTATTACTGTTATTTTGCTCTGTGGTTGGAATTACAGGCGGTTCTAAAAGCAGCTGAGAGGCAAATCTAAGTTCTGGGAGATGTAAGACGGATACAGGAGAAGGAAATCCTCGTCATTAATCAAACCTATATAGTATGAAGGTATAGAATAAAGTTCCTGGTCCCCTTGAAAGCCAATTTTTGTAAAGACACGTAGAGGCTATACACGCCATTACCATACAACGAAATCTTAATCCGTTTGAGTTTTGCAGAGAAAACAGCGTTGTCAGCCTAGTCCCTCATTGCCAAAGTAGTAGCCGTAGTAGTAGCTCGCCGTAGCGTATCTTAAAGTCCCTAGTGTTATCAACTTCGCAGCGTCATTTGGGTCGTCACATGTTGCATGACTACCCAAATAACGTGTCGCTATCGTCACGTGCAAAGAACCTGTGAAAGGAACGTTGCGTGACAATTCAAAGTATAAGTGGTAACAGGCCGCTTAAGTGTAAGTTTCTGCACTTAAAACTGATGGCAACTCACCTGAGAATCTTTAAAGAAGTTGTAAACAAGAACATCGTCAAACTCCAAACCCTTGGACTCGTAAATAGTTAGAATCAGTCCCTGTTTCAGCTCATCTGGCATCTGAGCACGAGCTTCTTCCGACGCCACGAGTATCACTTGATGTGCTCCGAACTCAATCCTCGAAGACTGCCGACGGTTTCCTCGGAGAATCATCGCCAGATCGCCGAAGCTACACGATTCTAGGAGCACAGGTTTGGGTCCCTCAAATAAGCCTTGATCCTTTTCGAGGCGATCAAACGACTCTGGAAAGTAGTGGAGTAAGAGGTCAACAACGCTGGAGGCGAGCCGCAAAATGCCCGCGTGTGAGCGGTAGTTGTGAGTTAACTGGTAAAGTCTGTTTGGAACTCTCACTCCTGACTGGAGACCTAGGGCTTGGTAGGACTGTTGCGAGTAAAAGAACAGGGATTTCAGATCATTGAAACGAAAAGCGATTCCTCTCATGATGCTTTGCGCCGTGTCACCAGTGAAGAAAAGTCCGTTAGGATCACGACTGCACCGTATCAACAAAGACAGCTCAGCTTGAGTAAAATCCTGAGTTTCATCAACGTAGAAGCGATGGACAGACCAGTCTGGAACCTGCACCTTCTGCAGGCGAGTGTAAACATTGTGGACAACATCAGCTTCGTCGAACATCCGCAACGAACATTTGGTGTTCTGATACACCACAAAGAGAGCGTACACTAGTTCCCGATCAGCGGAGAAATTTGGAGCTCGTTTGCGCCCAAGATCTGAGTACTCCTCCAAACTCAAGAAACCTTGTTCTGTGTGCAGAGCCTCGATGGATCCTTTGATGAAAGAACGGATTTCAGTCCAAACCAGAGTCGGGTGATACTGGACCTTTACTCTCTTGGTCATCCGAGGCCACAGTTCTGATACAAACACCACGTAAGTGACCTCGCGTCTGGGATCAAAGCTCTTAGGGTCATGTCGACCATGCACAAGATCATCTGTGTCTTCAGTAGCAGTAGCAGCTTCATCTTGTTCCTCATCCTCCATATCTGAATCTTCGTCAATTGCTACCAGGTGCGTCTCCTCCTCTCCCCAGCCATAAATCTTTCTCATCAGACTGCCGTTCTCCGTGCGAGGGAAGAACTCGCTACCAGGGAGGGATGCATCTAACAACAACAACCAGTCGCGGGAGTTAATAAACAGCGGCCATGCTGCATCGTCTATGTCTTGAATCCTGTTAGGCAATGGTGTCTCCTCATTTTCCACGTGCTCTCGTGCGGCGGGACAGGCATGGCTGAGCTCAGAAAAGTTCTTCTGGACTTCACTGCACAGTACCGGATTCTTTGTGATGAAGACTTGATGCAGATGTTCATACTGCATGGCATCTTGCTCCTCAAACTCGGACGGTTCTACCGTGTCATCGCCTTCTTCGTAATCCTTGCGCCGTGCATCCTTGGCTCTCACAAATTCCTCAGTTGGAGACTCTCTTGGTGTTACAAAGTCTTCCACACCTCTTGCACTGTCCACCTCATTTAAAACTTCTTGGAGTTGCTCACAATCGGTTAAAACTCCACACGCTTCTGACTTGGGTAAATATTGCAGTAGTTTAGGGATATGCGGGCCTGCAGTGGCGGCCTTTTCCCAGTAAGACTGGAACTCATTCCACAGTCTATACAAACAGCAGGTCGTTTTACCAGTTCCACTTCGACCAAGAAGAATTATTGGGCATGGTTGGTTTGGACGTAGGTTGATAATAGCATGCTCAAGTTCAGTCACTCTGAAGGGAAAGTCCACTTTGGTTGCATAATTGCTGTGAAGAACAGAGTTGATTAAGGCCGAGGAAAAGGAGTAGAATTTGAGAATGTGGAATTCCATATCATTTGGACTTGCAGGAGGAAAGAAATACTGCGAGTTGTTTCCTTTATCAGATGACTTAGCAACCTTTGCTGTTTTATCCTGCGGGAAATCTTCCACCTTTTCTGACACTTCAACAAAGAAGTTCGGAAGGCGTTCACCACTGGTGTTTTTCACTTTATCTCTGCCTTTCCTAAAACTAGACAGCTCCTTCCTTACAATACAGTTCAATCCTCTATCGTGGGATTTCACAATGCTTTCAACTTTCGCCATGAGGGTATCTCGGTCAGCCGCTACGTCCCAAACACGAATAATCTCCGAATACACTCGCCCAGCAGATGTCTCCTCTTGAATTCTTATCTCGGGATCGTTACTACATTTGGCTGAGAATGCCACCGTCAGTTCCCAAATAATCCTAGAAGCCCTTGTCAATTTAGCCTCAAACAGCATGATGTTGCGTTTCTTAGATGAGCCATCGAGTCTCCTGCAGAGCTTTCTTGTCCAGCGACCTTCTGCTAGCATGCGAATCCTGGCGATAATGCGTCGCTTTAAGGCATCACTGACATTTATGTTCTGCAGAGCCTTCCAGAACTGGTCAGTGCAGTCCACTTCCCAAGGTAAGTCTTCAAAAGGAGACTCCAGATCTAGTTCAAGCTCTTCTTCAGTTGTCTCATCATCATCATCATCATCATCATCTTGGATTCTCTCGATATCTGGCACAAGATGTGGTGCAGTATCTTCCTTTTCATTCTGCGGTCCCTTGATATCATCTTCAGCGACTTTCACCTCTGACGTACCTACAGTAACGTTCCTCTCTTCACTACAAGGCAAATTATCAAGATAAAGGCATTCAATCATATCCCTAATGCCCGCACGCAGATCGTCCAAAGGATCTTTCTTCACCGGTGGAACTGCAGGGAACGGTTTCTTGTCTTTATTGCGCACGTCTAACATTCGATGCTCGTCATCTTGAGCTGCATCATCTGCAAGCTTACACCAATCTGCCTCCGCCTCTTCTTGACCTAAAACTGCTTGTTGTGGCATTGACTTCGTCGGTGTCTTCGGCACTTTTCTCTTCCTCTTTCCACCACTGGACTTCTTACCACTCTTGTACGAGTTGATAGCTGCCCTGATGAGCTTTGCTCGAGGGTCCTTCTTAGTGAGGTAGTCAACCGGGACCTTGCCGTCAGTGTTCTTTAGTGTTGGGTTAGCTCCTGCCTCTGCCAGAACCCTTACGACGTCACACTTCCGTCTAGAACACTTGCCAAAAGCCACCAAGTGGAAGAGTGTATTTCCACTAGCGTCTACCACGTCAGGGTCAAAGACCTCAGAGTCAACTAAGGCTTGAAGAAATCCATTGTTCCCTACAAAGGATAATCATAAAACGATACAAACCTGAGTAACACTGAGCAAGCACTATCACATATTTTTCTTATATTCATTCTCCCCTTTTCCCGAACCATTTTCTCTGACAAGTGCCATTTTCGACTTTCGTTAGCCCAGACTGCATGACACCCAACCATAATGGTTTGATAACAGTTGTCAATAGATGACGATAATTGAGGATGACTCATGATGATAGCAAGAATGAAATCCCTCAGTTACTATTCACGTTTTCCAAACTTCTTTCCAAGCACGCAGACATCTTCCAACATGAATTTTTTTCTAAATTGTACGAACGCTTCCCGTATCTGTTGTCACAGATCACATAATACGCCTGCAAAATAAAGACAACGGAGAGGCAGGAAACCTACCTGTTGCAAACGTTTGCTTTAGAGCTTCATGCAGGAGGGAATCACCAGCCTTGGTCACAATACACGCTGAATTAGCATTGTACTGCAGTAGAGTGACCACCATGTTGTAATCTTCATTCTCCATAGCTTGCTCTATTGGACTCTTCTCTCTCTTCCCAAGGCCATCGGAGGAGGCACCATTCTCCAACAGAGCCCCAATGAGGGGGACTCGGTACTTGTCACCAGCATCTAAAACGAGCTCGATAGGAATTCCAGAGGCATCGATACCAGTAGCTAAGCCACCCTCCCCTGGTGAGAATCGCTGTGGTCCACCACCCCCTAAGTACAGGACGTGTAACTTGTCCCAGGTTTTCTTCTCTACCAGCTGTTTGACCAGGTTTTCCAGAATGGGGTTTGGGACACTACAAGTGACACTGGAGGTTCCATCTTCAACGAAAATAACAAAAAGCACATTAGTTCTGTAACGTGCACAGACATATGTATTGAGAACCAGTCAACTAAAAGTTAGCAGGAAACAACAAACTCAGAAAAACAAAAATTCTCGTCAAAAATCTCACGAATAGCCAGCACGCTCAGGAAAACTAGACGATGCCTACGAAGAACCCTGTATTACCTGGAAGATTTAGGGCCAGAGATACAATCTGACAAAGTATAACAGACTTGTCTTCGTCACTTTCAGCTCTTGTTAATCCTTCAGCAAAGGCTCTGACGGCATCTCTGTTTTGATCCAAACAAGCATGGCAGTATGCTTGCCGCACATACCCCTGTGTTGTCGAACACAAGTCAGAAGATTCATTACATGGCAAAACTCATCTAAATCTATTTACTTTGTGTACACTCAATTGTGTCTACAGAAAATGTAGTTAAGCAGGGCAAAGCTCGGAGTGGCAAGAGAGAAGTGACCAAATAACTTTGTAGCCCATCTCTTCTGCTCCCCCGTCATGTATCTCACTGGGAGCTTTGTCACGTCTGCTCTGCTCTGCTCTGCTCTGCTCTGCTCTGCTCTGCTCTGCTCTGCACAACTGCCTCTTCTGCAGACTAAATGACCTACACGTATAACAGGCGATCACTTTAAGACATAATCGCAGGTATAGTGACTCTCTACCAATAGTAATGTACATAACATCCAAATAACAGCAGAGAGAAATCAAGACAGAGTGCAACACCAATTAACTGAAACCTTCTGATAACTTGAACCAAAAGTCGCTTGCCTTGGATTTGGGTCACTGTATTTTTATCCTAAATATCTTGAACTTGAATTAAGTCATTCTTGTTCCACTGAAAGAAAAGAGTTTAACTGACCTTATACCACTCTGGTCGGAATCTTGTGCTGCTCTTGGCATCTAAGAGCCCTTGTTGATAATCGCCAATGTTGTAATGCGCAAGAGCACGATTGCACAGCAGAGTTGCCAAGAATTCCTTGTCGTTAGTCGGAACATACTGCATAGATAGAGTATAATACTCCACAAGAATGGAGAATTCCTTCTCGCCAAACAGTCTTTTACCACGCTCTTTCCACTTACTGGCTTCAATCTAGTAGAAAAAGTTGAAAGTGAGAAAGATACTGTAAATTACCATAAAGACACATACAAAAGATCATAGTACATGTAATACTAAATGATATATTTTGTGCGCTGACTGGTAGTTAGCTATGGTAAAAGAGAGAGACAAAAAGAAACACAACGCAATGCAACTTTTCCAATAAACAGAAACAGGAGAGGTACTCTACTCATTCATGCAACATCATCATGGTTTTTCTCAGTTTTCAGCAAAATTTTCATAAGTTAACCTGGAGTGCTAATGAAAAGGTCAAGTACAGTAATAAAACTTTAAGATTGCTTCTTATGTAAGTGACTATCTTTAAAACTCTCAAGAATAGCTACATAGCTGGCATGCCCCATCCAGAACTCAGCACTAGATGCCAATTTGTACCATTCACAGGTGCTTATACAGTTCCCTGCTAGTACTCTACACGTATACCAAGTCGATGGTTTTGTAGATATACAACATTTCAGAAAGCAATGGCACCTGTGATTTTGTTGGTTTGAACTTGAAGCACTCTCTGCCTTTCTCAACAGCCTTGACATACTGTTTGGTCTCAAAGTAAGCAGTTGCCAGAGAGTTGTTCACAAGGTAACTCAATTCTGCTGAATTGTTTGGGAACTGCAGAGCTATGCTCAACAATTTGATAGCTCGATTGTAGTCCTTGGTACCCAGTGCCTTGACTCCTTCTTCTTTCCAGAAATGACCTTGATTCTGTGGAAAAGGGAACTTGACATAAAAATACTGTTTGATTTACTACATAAATGATAGGGCTGCACCAATAACTACCAGTAAATCAGAAAAATGATTTCTTGCGGTCCAAATTTGAAAAGCATTACAGCAATTTTCTCCCAAGCTTCTTGAGCTCAGAGAGCTGTTTGGGCTGATTTAGAAGGTACAACATCATTGAATGCAGCTTTTGTAGTTCATGCTGCTTGTGTCATGCAAACGTCATTAGACTGAACAGGACCTTGAAAATGTGCAATAGCTCCAGCACCAACACAATGTAAACAATAATTAATCAATGAAGAACAAAGTTCACACTCAATCTGATGTTAGGGTAAGGGTTAGGTTGCAGAAAATCTGTTAAGGGGTGTTTACATGAGAAAACTTGCACCGTACCATAATTGGATGACTACTTGATTTAGTAGTATTGCATTTAAACGAAGGTACATCTTGTGTTCATCACATGTCTGGTTAAAGGAGGGTATAATGGACTGGATGATAACAACTGCACCACCATTCTTGTCTCCCACGAACCTGATGTCACACCAAAATGAGTGGTTGTTCTTTGTTTATACGATTGTGTTGCGATTTAATATCAGAATGAATGTTTCATTACAGCAACCAAGGCGAGCTCATGCCGTGGACTTGTACCAGTATGGTATTTTGTGGTGGTGTCATGTGAACAAATACAGAGCCCAAAGAGGGACCCGGTTCTTACAGATCATGTAGTGAATGTTGACGCAAGTATGTACAGTACTTCCTAAAGGTCATTCCAGTGCTTCAACACCATGAATGTTATACACTGTACACTCATTTACACCAAGGTTAATAATTACCTCACGGTGGTGTGATCCTGTTCCTCTATGACAACCAACCACTGAAGGATCAGCACCATGCTTTAAAAGGGTGTAAGCAATATTGTAGTTTTCCATCTCCATAGCAACAGACAGTGGTGGCTTCTTACACCCGTGCGGCCCATTAGCAAGAGCACCATGATCCAGCAACACAGCTATCAATTTGTCCTGGTCTTCAACGGATGACTCCAGTACTTCATTTACCGGAACAATTACAGCATTGCATCCTGTTGCTACACCTCCGCGACCCTTGGCATATGACCTTTGACTGTCACCTCCAAGGAATAGCAAGTGAAGCTTGTCCCATTCCTTTTTGGAGCACACATCTTTGATCAACTTTTGAACTGTGGCTCTGGGAACACGGCAGGTTATTCCAAGAGTTCCATCTACCAAACAGTGAGAAATTATTGAGTTAGTCCCCATCACCAGGCATGGGACTATTTACCACTGGGCATCTAAAGGAATCATGGTGATGAAAACCCTAAACTGCTTCAAGAGTTAAGTTTCCTGCTGATATTATGAAGATACCCAAAGGGACAGAAAATGTATTTCTAAGGGACACTTTTAATTCTAATCAAATAAAAGCTGCAAAGTACGTTTGTCAAATCCTCATAAGGGATGTACTCATCCAATTAAGAATTGCACATGCAAGTGAATGTTTTCTTGGCCAACTGTTTTCCCCATTGGGATATACAATGTCCCATCATTGTAGCAACACCTTTACCAACCCCTGTAGATTAAGTAAAAGGTGGGAGGTGTGGTGGCCTCATGGTTAGTACACTCGTCTCCTGATCGAGTAGTCCAGGTTTGATCCCTGGATGGGGACATTGCATTGTGTTCTTGGGCAAGACACTTAACTTCCACAGTGCCTCTCTCCACCCAGGTGTTTAAATGGTTACCAGCAAACTTAATGTTGGTGATAACCCTGCGTAGTCTTACATCCCAACCAGGGGGGAGTAGAAATACTCCTAGTCGCTTCATGCTACAGAAACCGGGATAAGCTCCAGCCTGATAGGCCACTGATAGGCCATGTACCTAACTTTACCTGCCTTACAGATTCAGTCAGACCATACAGTACATACATGAAAAATAAAAACCAATATGTACCTTTGAGATCCATGGCTGTAGAAATAATGTGTGATGCAAGAGCAAACTTGTCATCATCTGTCTCAGCCCTCTTCAGTCCATCACAGAAATGATTCATTGCCTCTGAATTTTGACCAAGGAAGTTTAAACAAGAACCAAGACGATAGTACCCCTACAACATGATGAAAATCAGATGAACTTCACTTACTATGTAAAAACAATACTGCAACATTACCTTCTAAATCGCAGTTTATCTGTTGTCTGGCCAACTCACGCTCTTCTGAAAATTTGTTTGCTGTAAGAACCACTGTTCATTATTTGTTCTTGACGCACATTACTCTTTGCTCAAATCTATGTGATGCAACCCTAGACAGCCTGTTCAAATCATGTTAAATTTGACAACTAACATTTAACTTGTGTAATCCAAGGGCTAATGAATTATTTAGCTGCTTGATAACTACACAAAGTCTGGATCATTAATTTGCTTGGACCTCAACACTATTGAGAATATTGTGATCATCTGCCTTTGATTATTAATTTGGTAGCATGCAAATGCTTTGTTTTATTCAGAACAATGCACCAAACACAAAGGTGCTGCAGTACCTTAGACCATTCTGGTTCTATCTGAACACATCTCTTGGCATCTTCCAAAGCCTCGTCATACATCTCCAGATTCAGGTATGCAGCACATCGATTACTCAGCAACACTGCACTCATTTTGTCAACATTCTCCGTCGTCTGGGGTACATAGTTCATGGCCAAAGAGTAATACTTAACAACCAGGTCATAATATTTGTCTTTGAACAACTGGTTTCCTCTTTCCCTCCATTTTTGAACAGCTTCCTAAAAAGCAAATTACAGTTGAACCTCTATAAAGTGGCCACCCCTTATTAAGCATGCCAGTTATCAAAGTCCCAAAATGGTTGTCAATAAAATACTGCAAATAAAACCCCTATTGTCCCCACAACCTTACTAAGTGGCTGTGGCCACCTTTTGGTCATCCTGATGAGCAAGGTCTCTATTGTCCTTATCCCTTTTAAGCAGCCACCAAAAATTTAACAAAGGTAGTTTGGCTTTCGTTTGGAAAAGACAGTGACATGAAAGTCCAAAATAAAATTAGTCAACTGATAAAAACATTTAAATACACATTTATGATTGTCTTAAAGTGATCCTATGTTCACTAAGCAATTAACACAAACTAAAACACATTCGAATTACACAAACCCCTATTATCAGCCAACCCCTATTAACCGACCACCTCCCATTTCCCCAAGGATGGCCACTTAATAGGGGTTCAACTGTAAGTAGAGTTACTGCTGTGGTCAGTGATAATTTTCTTTGGGCATACATGCACTGTGCTTGTCTAAAGTAAAAAGCAAAATGTCAGCAAATTAAAAACCATCATGAGAAATGCAGACACCCCACCTCATTCTTCACAGGCTTAACATGGTATCCTTTCTCTCCATGTTCAATACACTCAGTAAACTCTTCATTTTCAAAGCAGATGTCAGCCAATGCATCAAAGCATTCCCTCTTGATCTCCACAACTTGTTCAGGGGCACACTGCAGTGCCAAGTTGTAGTACTGCCTAGCACTGAAATCAGCTCCAAATCTGAGATTCTTGTTGGCTTGTTTCTTCCAGTACAGTGCCTGAGCCTGTAGTGCACATAATAAGCAGAAACTACATGTATCAATATGAAGCCTACAAAACCAGTAAAGTAAGAAGGTATGGGCTTGAAAGCAAGCAGCTAAGAGAGCCATTACTTAAACAACAGTGTCCAACACTAGAGAGTGTCCTACACTAGAGAGGCGTCAGATTTACATTCAAGAAACTGTGTTGTAGAAAATGTCACCACCCTCCCTAGGTTTTTTGGTTTGAACCTCTCCCCTACCCCCTTTGTACCTCCCCTTCATACTTTTCTTTCCACCAGGATACAAAAAAGCTGCATCTGATAGCCCAGGGCTAGTGGAATTGCAGTGAGGCTAGTGGAGTTTGTCCTTCACTCACATGAGATGTTTCAAGCAAAATTTTTGTAGAAGTTCAAATTACAGAAGTACTGGAAGAAATAAACTTTTGGGGTCTAGTGGGAATGCTTTCTTGCACTAGTACTGATGATTGGTTTTCTCTGTACTCAGCCCATCCCTTGGAATTTCCAGTGCCTTTCCATGGAGCGGGTATAAAATAAGAAATATTTCCTGAAGCCACACATAATGCTCCAATAGAAAGTAATAACATATAAAATTTAATTTCATAACCTTTGTTTGAAGGTGAGGTTGATTCAATGCACAAGCCACATCAGCGCCTACTTCAATCAGCTCATTAGCTATTCCAAATTCCTCAGTCTCCAAGGCAACCAATAGAGGCGGCTTTTCACAGAGTGGCAGCCCATCCACATGCGCCCCAAGCTCCAATAAGGTGGAGACAAGGCACAACTTCTCTGCCACTTGAGATTGTATCAGAAGATCTAGTGGAACTTGGGAGGCATCACAGCCACTAGCAAGCCCTCCTTCGTCAGGACAGGCCAGCAATGGGCCCCCACCCCCGAGAAACAAGACACGAAGTCTCTCCCAACTCTGCTTTGATATAGCATCATCCACAGCTCTCTGGATAATGGTTTGTGAACACAGCCTTTCGTCTATATTCGACGTGCCGTCTAACATAAAAAGATGGAAAAAATATTAGCTAAAGATGAAATACAAGACTTACAGTATGTCTCTTGGAGCATGATGGTTCACTAAACCAGGCAAATGAAACACATACACTTAAATGAGTTTTATGTTATTTTTCAGAGTAAGGACATGTAGTCAAAGAGTAATTTTTTACTTTTGAAACTAAATAAGTGAAAAATGTTTCCCTCACACATTGCTGGGGCCTGGGTATAGGTCATGTGACCTATGGGGTGGGCAGTTGTTTTTGTTGCATCCACCATTGCTGACTGTCCCTACCATCCACCTAAAGGTATTACATTTTTATACAATGCCATTATAATATACAAGCCTTGGACTTTTTTTCGTTTTTTTGTCTTTAACGTAATGGTTTGTATTAGCTTTGATTTTGCAATAAAGGTGGCAGCACTCAGTCCGCTTGACACGGCCACCAGTGGTGTATGAAACCACTACAAATTTTTTCTTCACAAATATTAAGCATGGTATGCAACGTACCCTCCACCTCCGAGGCAATAGTAATGATCTGTGACAGTGTGTCATACTTCTCCTCATCTGTCTCAGCAAGTTCAAGAGCTGCAGTAAAAGAGTCCATAGCATCTTCATAACGCTTCATGGCAGCTAAGCTTGATCCCAGCCTGTAGTGTGCCTGGTACAAGGAAATTAATAATGTTCACACCTTTCAAGTGAATGCACGTGCATAATCAACACAGTTCAAAAGACAAGACATGCATTTTCAGATGAGCTGAAAAGCAAAATCCTGGCTTGTTACAAATCATTGTAGGTCAGGGTACTCTAGACCAATTTTAACTTTTTTTTTTTAAATTTTGGCCCACTTTACAATTACTCCATTCTGTACAAATTATCCCCAGCTTTTATGCCAGTGCCCCATTACACTGTCGGATAGGGAGAGACACTGCGAGAAACACAATGCAATGACATCTTGACCTGGCATCAAGTAAACTAACCACAGCATTTCCAGCAATCATCTGAAACTTCCACTTCTGTGTCTTCTGAAAACTACTATAAAAACACAGGCTTGAGTTTTCCTAGAATTTTTGCCAGAGCTGCAGATGCCAGCAGGTGCATACATGCATACAATTACATGTATTGATTAAATTTTAAATTCTGTTAGTGTTAGTATCTCACCTTTGACCAGCTTGGCCTTATCTTCACACATCGTTCAGCATCTAGCAGTGCCACCTTAAAAGTCTTATTCCTTATGTGAACCAGTGAGCGATTACAAAGCAGCTGTGCCAGAAGTTCTCGGTCACTGGTTGGAGCATAGTTGATGGCCAAAGAATAACAGTCGACAAGAAGATCAAATCTGTTTTCTTTGAAAAGTTGTTTACCTCTCTCTTTCCACCTCTTTGCCTCACCCTGCATGAAGAGTAAGACACAATAGGTCATTTCCGAGTTGCCTTTTGCCTCAGCATCAAAACAAGTCTTTGTGCAAAACCATTCATATGAAAATGCCTTTCCCCTACAGGTTCATTGTAAATCAAAATCATGAAAGGTTTTGCCTGAGGACTTGTTTTCAAACAGAGGCACAAGGTAACTCAGAAATGATCTATTAAAAAATGGCAAATCCTAATGGTACCCAAACCCCCACGCAAGTTGTGAGCCTCTCAAAGCCCTTGCACATGTATCTGCGGGGAGAATTTTCAGAACATAACATTATTATAGTGACTAGGGTCTTTACTCCTCCCAGGTGTAGGACAGTTGCGATTTATCAAAATTTTTGTTACTCACGATTTTGAACATTCCGATCAATTGCCGGTTTTCATGCGACGTCATCATTTTCCAAAATTAAAAAAAAAACAATCCTTCTGAAGTTTTAGTTTCATCAGATAGAAGACCCTCCAAGAACTTGACATTAACCTTAACAGGGTTCATTATTTTGTTATAGAGGACATTTGAATTTCCAAGTTTTTGTGTTGCATGACACTAAAATGGCGGCCCAAGAGGGCTTTCGCATAGGTCAAAAGAGAAGTTATCGCTCAAGTTTTTGTTAACTGAACAGTTCCTGCACTAGGAGAATTATTACTTTCAACGTGCCAAAACTCTAGAGGAATAATTTTTCATTTCAATGGTAAACCTAAATGACAGATGTTTCTGTAACTTGACGGCCACCTTGTTGGTGCCCCTTGGAAGGGCATCAACATGGTGTCTCCATACAAAGCTCTACAGATTTGGGTGAAACACTCTTCAGAATAACACACAAATGAAAAAATGCACAGACCTAAATCTTGGCAAGGATGTTTTTTTTTTTTAATCAATCATCTATCACATCCCAGATTCGTGACTTAATTTATTAAATAGATATAATTTTTATTTTTGATTGTGTGACAGTGCAAACCAGCAATTCAAGAATATTTGACATCAGATTTGGATTTTTGTTCACTTCAAAAAATACCTTTGCTTGAGACGAATTTTTCTCAAATTGTTAGAAGAGATGCTTAATGTCCCCAAACTTTCAGCAGTCAATTGATAGATTAATTTACCTACATGCTGTGTTTTTATGAAGAGTACAAAGTTGTTTAACTACCCTTTACTATTCTCCCTAGAGATATCCAAGCAAATACGGCAAAGCACATGTTCATTGAATCAAGTTCTTGATTTCAGCATATGTCTCAGTCACTGAAGTCAAAGTTTATAATAAGTAACCAACACTTGTGAACCCTCCAGATCTTATTGAATTCCACTTAACTTTTGTTCTTTCTTCAATGTAGTATGAAGCAAGAAAAAATTGCATGATGGTATCAAAAAATTAGTATTTGCAAGGTCATAATTGAAAAGTAATAATGGAATCAAAAGGTACAATGTGTGAATCATTACACCCCTATCCAGCTGTTCCTCACTTGTAAAGCTATTGCAGGTCTACATAATGTCTTTTTTTTAATTTTTAAAAACATGTAACAACCATTTGACAGCAACACAATACGAATCTCTGGTATTAAAAGAATACCATCAAATACAAAATACACATATACAAACCAGTGATCTTCCTGGCCTGATCTTGTATGCCTCTTTCCCAGCTTCTAAAGCTTCAGGATATTGCTGTAGGCTAAAATGACATGATGCCAAATAGCTTTGGACTTGTCCCTGAGATTCAGCCATGGACCGTGGTATAAACTCTTTTGCAAGTCCAAGTGACATGATGGCCTGATTGTAACTATGCATTTGGTATAACTGGATGCCCTTCTCCTTACAGCGTCGACCTTCTTGCTGCAAGTAAAATAAAAGGAAAACAAGTTAATATTCTAATTATGTCTTATAGTCTCTTACAAAAAGTAGCACTGAAGGGAGTTTCAATAACATGCATACAACTCTATCTATTCAAGACATTCAAGAAATTTCACCAAACGTTTCTGACTTTTCCTGGAATTCATCAGCTACTATTTGGGTGCCAAACATTTCTTTAAAACCAACATGAACCTGTACAGCTGTAGGTAGGATTAATATTTCCATAGCAACCACATTTTGATATACATGTAACATGTTTAAAACTTTTAACAATGTAATGTGTTCAGTGATGCTCACAGGGCAATGTATTTCTGCAGGAAACCCATGTCGACACACATATAAAAGTCTGCTCAGTAAGGGACTTTGTCTTACTTTTTTTGACATTTTCTGGTAATCTTTCCAGACCAAATGATTGAATGTATGCATTATGATTCAATCACATGATAAAGCAGAATCCCAACCAATAATATTTAACAGCTATCCTTTTCATCCATTTATACTTGAGGAGAAATAAATGAATCAGTTCTGTTGAAATGTTCCCTTGTCTCTCTTTATGATATCAATTTTGATCAGTCTTGGGATAGAATTCCCTGCCCCTCATTTCAACTGAAATGTTACTGAATGAAAAGCTACCCAGTCAAGTTTGAGAGTTTTCAGTGGAAAATTGTCCAAATGGGAGCCTTGCAAAAGTTGCAAAATTCCATACAAACCCTTAAAATTTTGTGACCTGTCTACCCAATCCATACAAACTCTCTGTTTTAGGTGATACTTGAAGAGCTATCATTTTGCCATTTTCCTCTTCTAAATACTTCTATTCTTGCTTAAGACTCTCAAATTTAGTTGATCTTTCATTTGAAAATCTTAGTTTTCAAACAAACGGAAAACAACCATACTCTTTCCCAGTCCTCTCACATTTTTGCAATGGGCTATTAGAAGGCAGGATAACAGATGTGGCAAGCAGTAAAGGTCACACATATATTTGTTATTAGTCAGTATTACTAAACTCCCTGAATGAACTTCATGTAGGCCTCAATAAAATTAACAAAGGTTCAAAATTGACCAGGGTCTGAAATTAACTTTTTTAGGCAGGTGCCAACTGGCGACTGAATTTTTTTTTTCCAGTCGCCATATGGAAAAATGTGGTCGCCAAAAAGTGTCAATAAAATTTTTCCTTCGCAGCGAAACACAAACCAAAATTTTTGGTCGCCAGATGGAAAATTCTGCTCACCAATTTTTCTTTTAAGAATCAGAACAAAGAGAATGCATTTGGGGCCGCAACGATGGCGATTTTTCCACTAACGATAAGATTAAATACGAACACGCTGATTATTTAAATGAAAACCCACGACGAACGAATCGAATGCCGGCCATATTCGCAGTTTCATGCGACTGCCAAATGTTTCAAGTCAATTTTATACCTTCTCTTGTCTCTACCTTTTGGAGAAGAAATGTACCCAACTGAAAACTGCCGTTTGGTTCTTTGCTCTATGTGCAAAACGATCTTTCCTTTCGTGTTCTGTCAAGACGATCGA